GGTGCGTTCTACATAGTCTCCCTGAACACAAGACCAAGTTGCGACAACGAGGTCAACCCACTTCCACAAACTTTCTATTGATGCAAGAAATCAGATTTAGCCAGAAAAAATATTCTTTAGGATAATAAAAACGAAAGATCTAACGAAATTAAAGATCGTAAGAGGGTCGAGTATCGCATGAAACAATTGGCGAAGAAGATATGCCACAACCAAAAAAATAATTTGGCACTGGACCTATCAAAGTTCCTAAGAAACCAAACACCCGTAAATAAGCCTATCTTATAATTATGTCCTGTTGAAGATATTTTCATACCGTTAACATTGCTCCACGTTTGCTCTAGAGTTGTATTAAGAGGCTTTAGTACCTATAAGAGAAGTCAATATCTGCACCTTTAACTGAATTCGATAGAGTATAGATCATTCGTGTCAGATTCCTTTGTACCTGTCAGAGTTTAGAATGAATCACAAGTGCCATGTATATAAAAGTAGCATAAGCCTGGTCAAAGTTCCATGTAATTTTTGAGATTATGTACAAAAACTGAAGCAAGGAAAAAACTTCCTCTTTGCTTACGATATAGATTAATATAACATAGAGTAGAACAAAATTTAGCAACAATATTCAATCAAAATAACAAGACGAAACCTCTCAACTTTCGTCAGAACTAAAGAGAAGGCTCCTTTGGCTGTAAAAAGGCTCTAGTAGGAGTTGAGTGCATCGATTCTTTATCAGCAGCCAGAAAATTAATTGAAGAGACTTTGCACCGAGATTTGGAACTTTCCGGTGTATTTTTTATGAGGACACTGTGTGGGACAAGGTCGGGGAATGCAGACCATATCTATGAAAAATTTAAATAAGAAAAATAAACAGGAGTTAAAAATGAAAATGGAAGACTTATATGATAAAATACATTAAATTAATAGGCTTGAAGACTAAGAACTTGCTAGGTAGACAATTCAAGTCTGTTTGCGAAGCATGCGATCAAAACAATGCTTCGTCAAATGGTAAAGTCAATCATGAATGTAATTTATACTAACAAAAAGAATTATATCTCTTCACCGAAATGAAGGCATAGCACATGATTTTATAAGCAGGCAAACTTAAATAGATATCAAAACAATGCGAAAATTGAAGAATTCTTACCGGACCGGCCGGTCTGAAGGGAGTTTCTTGCTTAGAAATCGGAGTGAGGCGGCAGGGATGAATCTGAATGAAAATTTTAGGTGAGATAAAACAAAACATCAATAGAACTAAATGAATCCTTGGAGTGGAAGAGTTATCCCAGACCAAATTTAAACCAGTCAAATAATGTATTTTATCGAAGGTATGAAGACCAAGATGGTGTGGTCTTTAATGTGTTCTCAGTCTCTTTTCGATGTACAGAAATAGTTCGCAACTTGGTCAGGTATTTTAAATTGTGATTTGGAACCAATTCCTAATATAAATGAGCAAACACGTATAAATGCTCGAGTACCTTTAATTTCGTTTAAAGAGGCGA